TAACATTCTGTGATTCTGTGATATATAAAAAAATATAATAAATATGTACAGACAATGTGTTACCCGTGAAAATCTCACCTTTCTTCCATGCAGTTATCTTATTCCCTAATATTCTATGTCAAAGTATAACATACAAAATCTGATAAAAAATAGAGGCATGCACAAAGTGGTACAGCAGTACTTGATACGTGTCCACCAAAATAGGATGGAGAACCTTGAGCTCAGTCAACTTTGGCTCTCTCTGTAGCAAACAGATAATTTCTCATTTGGAAATGAGGGCACGGCTGTTCCCTCCGGCCACTGAGGTCAGCATGCCAGCATCCTGCTGGTGGCTGCCACATGCCAGGCTGTGCCCAAACTGGGATGTGTGATCCAGGGCACTGCGAGCACCTGGTCTCTCATAAATGAACAGAGTCGCTGTTCCTGCCGAAGTAGCAGCCCACATCAGCAAAGCCTTCACACCCTCTCTGCCAAAATGCCCTTTTCCCCACCAGCATTTCACATCTACCTGCTGAAGAAGGTGCATTAAAAAAAAAAAGGGAGTGGGTCTGTCAGAGAGAGTATGAGGTTTTATTGCCTCTCGATCCACATGTGGCATTGACTAGGAAAAGCCACAGACAACCCTACTGCTGCATGAACATTGTTTATTTCTCCCCTCTTTTTCAAAAAAGTTTCTCTCATTTGTTCATCCTCAAGACATGACAAATGTTCAGTGCAATTACCTGTTTCTCTCCCCATGTCCATCTGCAAATCCTGTCCATCATGCAAAACCCTGTAAGCATAGGTAAAGCAAATCAGACCTGTGGGTATGAAAACGCAGTGCCTGTTCTCCATCTACATTAAGTGGTCACCTTCCAAACCAGCGCACATCTTGTTGAATGTTCTCCAAATATATCTCATTTGTTAATTGTAAGATATTTTGGATTGCAGTACAGAAATTCCTATTTTAAGTTGTTACAAAAGCAGATGCATTAGCCATAGTATGGGCCAGGATGCAAGAAGCAATCCCACTTACAAGATGCTTATTTGATTTCTGTGGAGCTGATAGCTCTGTTGGCTGTCATAATCTGCTCTGCAGTTACTTGACTTGACTCATGTTTAATATACACTAACAATCATGGTAAGAGTTTTAGTCCCCAGGCAATTCCAAGTACTTCTTCTCAGCTGTCCTGTCCTTTCCCTATTTACACAGAATTTTGCATTGTGGGGAAAGTGCTCAGAGGGTCAGATAATTGTAGAATTGTGCCTTGTAGATATCACTTGTTCTGAAGAAATCAGTTACACTGGTCAAGGCACCATGTTCCTGAATGGCAAAGAAAAATCTTCACAGTGTACAGAATTAGCTGTTCTTACCAAATATACAGACATGCTTCTTGCTGGGACCATTCAGATGAATTTTTGCAGTGCAACCTGTGGCAGCAACAGTACTGTAGTACTGCAGTAATTTCTTTATACTGGCATATAACATTCACCCTTAGGCAGTTAACACTAGGGGGAAAAAAGGGGGTTGGTTTTTAAGGAACACTGAAAGATGATTAAAGGTGTATAATCAGGGAAAGTTAAGGCTGTGCCCCAAGGCTGGGGCTGTGACCCTCTTTTGTATTTACTTACTGATTGAGTTTTCCATAGTCATATATTACCCTGTTTACAAAATTATATATACACCTTTTCAGTTAGAACACTCAGTAAGCAATGTTGCTATACTTCAGCACTGTGTCTCTGGGGAAGGCATTGAGTGGGTGTTTTCCTACCATCCTAGCTACTAGTGTTGCTAAAATTTATCATGTTCAGTGAGGAGCATGACTGGAATTCAATCACCGTATTTTTATAAGGATGAGAAAAGTACCAAAAGTGTTATCTCCTGCTGAAACCTGCTGAAATTAATTAAAAGAGCTAGTGAATTAAAAGGTTCTTATTTTTTGTCATTATGAAAACAGAGTTTGAACATCTTACGCGGATTTTAAGTTTACGTTACTAGAGGGTAAAAAGAGAGGGAGCTAATACGTGTGTTCTGACCTCGAGTGAAATCTTGTGTTCTACAAGGAAAACATAATGATAGCTGAAAGTGGCAGAAATTATCTGTGTATTTCACTCCGGCTTGTAAAAGTGCTGTCTTTTAAGTAAAACTGGTGCATATTTACTTCTTGATTGCCCTGTGCCAATCTCTGTTATTCGATGCAGATTGCTTTGGGACAGCTTCTGAGCATGTAAATAATAAATTGGCAGCAGCTTGCTCCAGTGTAAGAGTTATTATGAAATCACTACAGTTTTTTTCCTAGGGTATATGTTTGAATAATAATGCCCTGGCATTTCTGTTGGCAGTATGGAATGCTACTGTATCAGAATTACAGAATCCCCCAGCAAAGAAAAGCCATGCTTCCACACTTCTCTACTCCAGTAGTAAGTAATGAACTTTACCTCATTAATGTATGATGTTGGAAAGGAAACATTTGCTTTTTGCATTTTAAAAGTGGAAAAAATTATGCTAAGGAATGTAAATTCATCATTGTGTAGCAAATCAATGTAAAGCTCACGTTTCACTTGAGTACGGTGTACATGGTTGGCTCTCCATTATCTTAGGCTTACATGATCCACATGATTGAAAAATCTTGGATACGTCAGGCACTTTGAGATGTACAGTACAGAGACATCTGGCTGTCTCTGCAGAAGCCAGCTTAGGTCTGGCAAAACTAACACGTAAATTTCCCAAAGTATGTTGGGCCAAGAGCTGACTGTTAGCTATCTAAAAGTGAAGATCCTATATTTGGATCCCAACTGGCCCTGCAAATGACTGGAGTATAGCAGTAGGGCAAGTGGGCAACTTGAGCAATACAGATTTTATTCTCAGCCTTTGAATCCTCTCCCTCCCCTACAGCCTAAAAAGAAAAGGCATCTTTTTTTTTGTGTCTGTGAATCTCTTGGATGGGGAAAAAAAAAACGGAGATGTATTTTCTGTGCTGTTGAAGGATAACTTTGGACGGTCTTCTGAAACCAAAACATTTTGAAATGAAACTCTGAAGCTGGTTTTTTTTTTCCCTGTTTTTTGAAACAAGTGAAAATTCCTTTTCAGAGAAGTGTATCTGAAAACTCACTAGTAGCAATGGATTTTTCGGGGCAAATAGGAAGAGTTATTGAAAATCCTGCTACTGCCTTGGAAGAAGGACATGCTTGGAGGGTAGCTATCTTCTCTTCTTTTCTATTTTTGTAATTAGTAAGTGTCTGTTGAGAGCCGAAACACAGAGTGTGCTATGATGTTAGTGCAGTGCTGGTCACAGTATAGCTTAGCTCCGACCTGAAGCAATCACGCTGCAAGCATGCAGATCTGAAAGTCGATATCCATCTTTAGCAAAACTGTCACATTCACAACAACCTTCTACCACTGCTTCTCTGTCCCCCTAGTGTCCAGAGGAAAGTTGAGGGGGAAAGCAGACCCACCAGAACTTTACTACCAGTTTGCAAAACCAGTCTCTGAGGAGGAATATGTCAAATTAAATGCTTCCCCACATGGAAGAGGCTGGGGCTCTGACTAATGGCTTGCTCCCAGTAAGTTTAATTGCAGAATATACAAGAGGCAGGACCTCTTGCAATGAAAACTGATGTAACTTGTTTATAGTGTCTTGTGGACAGACAGCTGCAGTACAAGTTTTCCCACATGCTCGTCTCTTAGGGAATAGGAGTCATTACTGAAGCACTAGCTGGTGCTTTATGTACGGGAGGGAAATACTGCTTGATTTACTGAGTGCCTGGTGTTTTGCCTGAGCAGAAACATATCAGACTTTTCTTTTTTCTGTCATTTTTTTCTTTATTTTTCTTTATTTTTCTTTTTTCTTTTTTTAGATACTGAGCTTTCATCATTAACATCTGGCTTGTGTTTCAAGCCAACTGAAATGAGCTGCTGCTTGTAGATTAGCCCCCTTCAAAGTTGCATTTCTTTTTCTCATCCTTGCAATTAAACTTGCCCAGCCCCCAGTTTCCTGTAAATGAAATCTGTATTGCATGTGCACTAATTCTCTTCTGTTGAGGCTTTAGTGTGGATTTAATGGTAATTCATTTTCTCTATAGAAACGTAGCACAAGAATGAACATCTTGGGTAGCCAAAGTCCACTCCATCCTTCCACACTGAGTACAGGTAAATTCTGCTGTTTTGTAAGCATGGTATAAGAGGCCTGTGTGGGTAAATAAAAGTAGAGACAGACTGCAGTTGTATAGTATTAATGCCACAGTATCAAATACTATGTTTATGTTTATCAGTAACTTCTGTGTCACTAACATGCTAATAAAAGTTATATTTCATGTAGAGACAGACTACAGTTGTATAGTATTAATGCCACAGTATCAAATACTATGTTTATGTTTATCAGTAACTTCTGTGTCACTAACATGCTTACCCATACAGACATAGCAGAAGGAACTTGTTTTCCTTTGAAGGCACGCTCAAGCTTTTCTTCAATTTTAATCTTTTGAAACTCAGATTTTATGAAAATTGAGACTCCACAAGTGTTTCAATTTAAAATAATCCAGAAGTCAGTTCTTCATTGTAGACAAGGAAAGTCAATGGGTAATCTGTTAATCTTTAAAGAGTAAAAATAAGAGTCTTCAAAATAGCACTCATTCCATAATAACTGAATAATGTAAAATACGGATGCCTGTAATGTGAGTCCTGAACATCTCTTTGCGATTGTAAGTTTGTTAAAATAATAGGAATTGGGATACTAATAACCTGGACTTCTTAGAGGAAACACAACTATTCTATGTTTTTATTCTGTGTTTCTATTCTGTTGAAAAAAAATGTAAAAATTCCATTTGAAAAACAATAAAACAATAAATATAAAAATACTTGAAGGTAACTCCACCCTTCAAAGCACAAGCTCAAGTGCTTTTCATTATTTGAGCGTTAAAGGGACTTGGTCCTAACTCAGCACTTTATCCATTGTATTCCAAGAATTGTTTAGTCGCAACATTTTCCAGAAGCTATGAAAAGGCAATGTTATAAACGATTTCTCTTATTAACCTAATTATACATCTGCAAATCAGAAAATACATGAAGATAATGCCTGTGTACTTGGTGTATTAAGTAGATGCAACAGCTGTTGTATTTTCTTCATATTGATTAATTTTTTATATAGTTTGATGAAAGATACTTTATATTCTGTGATGAAACTATACCCAATTTTAAAATGTTTAAATAATTAGTGTGTGGAAAAAAACATTGCACATGTTATTGATTTTAGCCATCCTCTCTT